CATGGTTGCTTGACTCCAGCTATGTTTCTACATCAGAGCAAGAATTTTCAGAATGAATGAAGTATGTAATGTTTCTTATTAAAGTGATTAGTGCAAAAAGGGCTATGACTGATGGTTTTATTACTGATGGTTTTATTACTTCTGGTCATGAAAAACTGTATAGGAGATGTTTAAGCAATATATCTTTCTGAAATGAAGGGGCGATGAAACATGTATATAATTGCTTAGAATCTTATAGCTGTACTAATTATGTGTTTGAAGTTATTTTAAATAATTGCTTTAAAAAAGGTGGCTTTGATTTGCTTGTGACATGATTGTGTGAGGAGGCCAACAGATCTCCTCATAAGCAGCGATAAAGCTGGACAGTCAAAAACAAACCATCTCAGCACTCTGGAAATTGACTAAAAACATCCATCAAACTGAGAAGTGTTTATTCATGAAAACAATTGAACTTTCGGGAAGAAAGTGTGAGCCTGTGGTGTTTGTGCCTTGAGCACTCCCATTTTCCTTGCTCAGCTCTATGGACAAAGTTGTTCAACCATGGTGGAGTAGGCTAAGCTTTACCACTGCTCCCAAGATGGCTCAGTTAACCTGGAGAACTATCAGTTAAAGTGGAGGTTTTGATGGCAAGTGATAGGGAGGGTCTTGGCTTTACCCCCGCTGAAGTTATGTGTCTGTTTGGCACAGAGTGGACAGATGGACTACCCAGGGATTTAACAGGAACTTCTGGGAGGTGAGACAGAAATAGGAGGTTTGATAGATCTCTACAGATTATAAGTTGACTGGAGGTGGTGAACCTGCATAGCTTAGGCGGGAGTGGACCCAATCCACCTACACTTCCCTGCCTACTAGAGCCTGCATGCACATCCACAGGTTGTGTGAGAGGACCCAGGAAAGCCCAGGAAAAAGGAAAAGTTGAGGTGCACTTGAAAATGCCTTTACCAGCTCATACAGAGATCCAAGAGCAGATAGGAGAAATCTTACCGGCTCAAGGTATTTGATCAAATGTGTGACCAGTCTTGCTTAATAAATAGCTATGCAGATACAGAGTTGACCCTTGCGAAGTTGTGCTTGGGGGGAAGAAACAAACAAACAAAACTAAGAAGGTACATCAATGACCATATTGTGGAGAGAGAGACTTTATAGATCTAGTCAAGATAAGTTACTAAACAAAAATAGCCTTTGGCGGGGAAGGGGGGTAGGGGTTGGGGTAGGATCTGAATTGAGAATTGCTACAAAATATTATCTAAAATATCCAATATTCAACAAAATATTATGATACATGCAAAGAACCCAAATATTACAACATTTGGGGGAAAAATGCAGTACAAATTATCTTTGATCAAAAATATTGGATTTAGAAAAGACTCCCAAGTACTGAGTGAAACTGTGTTAAATCATTTAAGGAAAGGATGGTAACAGTGACTTGAAAGCAGAACCACGAAAAGGTAGACATTATTAAAAAGAACCAATAGAAATCTAGAGTTGTAAAGGAGAGTAACTGAAATGAAATGGTCATTAGAAGGGCTCAATTTAAGATTTGAGATGGCAGAAGAAAAAAATCAGTAAATTGGAGGATAAACCAAAGGAAATTAGCCAATCTGAAAATAAGAAAAAGGAGGGCCTCAAAGACCTGTGGGACAACATGTAACACACTAACAAGTATGTCATGGGAGTCATATGACATGGAGAGGACACATGAAAAGTGCCCCCCCCAAAAAAAAATACCGGATGAAAAACATTATGGATCAAAAAGCTACATGAATTCCATACAGAAAAATTACAGATATCCACACCTAGACAAATTATTCTCAAGCTATTAAAAAACAGAGAAAATCTTGGGCCAGCTGAGTGGCGCGATGGTTGGGAACTGGCTTGGGATGCCAGAGGGCCCCGGTTCGGATCCCACATGTGAGGGCCAGTGACGCTGCCCTCCGCAGTTGAGATGCTGGGCGGCAGCTTGGCCTGGAGCTGGGCTGCTGTGGGTCGCCTGCGACGGCATGGGCTGCAGCCCCTTTGGCAGTGGGTTGCCATGGGCTGCCGTGTGTGGCCGGCAGCCAGCATGAGCGGCCAGCAGCCGCAGTGAGCGGCCGTCCAGAAGCCGGCGACTGATCTGCCTCGCCCGGGAAGAGCGCAATGATAGTGCCAACTTGGGCCAGTGAAGCAGCGCCCTCCACAACTGGACTGAGGAACAGAAGCGATGGCAACTTGTCTGTTCCCCTTCCCCCAGTTCCCCAGCGCTGTTCCCGTCCCCCAATTCCCCAATTTAAAAACAAAACAAAACACACACACACACACAAACAGAGAAAATCTTGAAAGCCTTTATAAAAGAGAAGTGACACATTATGTACAAGGGAACAATAATAAGATTAGTAATTGACTTCTCATTAGAAGCAATAGAGGTCAAAGGCAATAGAATGATATATTCATTGCTCAAAGAAAAAAACCCTGTCGACTAATAATTCTATATCCAGCAAAGGTATCCTTCACACATGAAGCAAAATAAAAATATCCCTCCTCCCCCCCAAAAAAAAATTGTTGCTGTAAAACTTTCTTTAGAAGAAATACTAAAAGTTCTTCAGGCAGAAAGGCAGTGGTACCAAATGATAACTTCAGTTCTCAGGAGGAAATGAAGAATACTAGAAATGGTAATTATGTGGGTAAATATAAAAGTACTATAGAAATATATGTATTTCTCGTTTTCTCTTTAAAAACATACAGTTGTATAAAACAATTCTAGCACTGTATGTTTGGGTTTATACAACTATAAATATGTGTGACAACATTAGCACAAAGGAAGAGGAGGGGGAAAAAGGCAGTTGGACAATTGAATATCCATATGCAAATAATGAGCTTAGACCTTTACTATACACAAAAAGTAACAAAATGAATCCTAGATCTAAGTATAAGAGCTAAAACAAAACTTCTAGAAGAAAATGTGGGAGACATCTTTATGCCCTTAGGGTACGCACAGAGTTTTTAGATATAACAGCAAAAACATGAGCTATAAAAGACAAAATTGATTAATTGAACTTTATTGAAACACATTTACTTTTCAAAAGATAATATCATGAATGTGATAGACTGAGAGAAAATATTTTGAAATAATTTAATAAAGTTGTTGTAAGTAGAATATATAAAGAATTCTTACAACTCAATAATAAGACAAATACTCCAATTAAAATATTGGGGTAGACATTTTTAGTAGGGTTTTTTCCAGAGAAACAATCAATAGAGGTATGTGTGTGGGTGTTTATAAAGAGATGTATTTTAAGGAATGGCTCACACAATTATGGAGGCTGAGAATTCCAAAGATTGTGCAGTCAGCATGCTGAAGACTCAGAAGAGATGATGTGTAGTTTCAGTCCAAGTTCAGAGGCTTGGTAATCAGGAGAGCTGATGGTGTAAGCTCCCGCTTGTAAGTGGGCAGGCACAAGACCCAAGTAGAGCTGATATTGCACAAGTCTGAGTCTTCAGGCTGGAAGATGACAGTCAGGCAGGAGGAGTTCCCTCCTACTTAGTGTTTTTGTTCTATTCAGGTCTTTGATTGATCAGATAAGGTCCACCAGTGTTAGGGAGAGCGAGCGATTTGCTTTACTCAGTCTACTGATTCATATGTCAGCCTCATCCAGAAAAACCATCACCAATGCACCCAAAATAACATTTGGATAAATGTCTGGGCATCATGAATCCCAGTAAAGTTGACACATAAAATTAACCATTGCAACATTTTACTAAACAGGACAAATGGGTGGCTCATAATCACATGAAAAGATGTTCAACATCATTGGTCATTACTGAAATATGTATTTATTCAAATGACAACAATATACCACTGTATATCCACTAGAATGGCAGTCAAAAAAGTTAAATGAGGTCTTGGCAATGATATGGAGAAACTCAAACCCTCATACATTGCAAAAAATGATATCAGCACTTCTTAAAACAGTTGTTTCTTATAAAAAATATAAATTTACCACAGGACCTAGCAATTCCATTCGTAGGAATCTATCCAAGAGAAATGAAACCATACATCAATACGAAGAGTTATATGCAAATATTCACAGAAGCATTATTATAATAGATAGTAATTGGAAGGGATTCAGTTGTCATCAGCTGGTTAACAGATTAATAAAATGCGGACTATTTCGTATGGGAACAGGGATGGACTATAAATAAGCTTGGGATTTTTGGGGTGATAGAAATGTTCTAAAATGGCTTTTGTGATTATTGTACAACTGTGTATTTAAAATCATTGAATTGTATATTTACAATGGGTGAATTGTACAGGATGTACCTCAGTAAAGTTATAAAAAATGTGTATGTACATAACGAGCAAATGAAAATGTAAACAAAATAATGGGGAATCTGAAAGGGATGGGAATTTTTTTGTACAATTTTTCCGTCTTTTCTACAACTCTACAATTATTCAAAATTATAAACATTATAATGGCTCTTAAAAGTGGTCTAATTTTGTTTTGTAAGAGTTTTCAAAAGTAACTTCAAAAACTTTGGTCCGTTTTTAAATATCCAATCCTAAAGTGTCATTTTATCTCAGCTTGTTTATTCTTCACTTCTTTGATTTGCTGTTTGCTTTGAGCAGATAATCTGCGTTTCCATTTACCCCCCATAGTGCAAAACTGGCCTGCAGGCCCAGGGCCCAGGTGGACCCTTCCTGCTTCTTACCCATATCTGGTCTCTGCTAGGGAGCATACCTTGTGGAGTGGCATTTTGAAGATATCTGTTGCTCTCATCTATGTGGTAAAATGTGTCAGTATTATGAGCAAAGCACTTTGGACTGTAGGACATGAACACAGCTGTTTTTCCCTTTGGCATTATTTTTCTTAGGTTCAATGATCACATCTTCTCTAGGTTGGGTTTTTGTTTTGTTTTCATAAAAGAAAAAAGTTAAATGCAAGTATTAACACATGTGGTGAGAGCAGTAAATTAAAGTGAAGTTGTGTGACTCATGCTAATGTATATTTATGCTTTATTTGAAGGTCACTCCGTGAGGCTGCTGGGTCAGAAAAAGGATAATGGAAAACGGTTGGGGGGAGCACGACTGGATTTGCCAAAGATTAGGAAGAACCCCCTGATAGAAATCATTTCCATCAATACCGGGTAAGCGCTCAAACTTACTTATAAAATACTCAGTATACTCCATGAATTTAGTTTTTTTGTTTTTCCTGGACATGGGACATAGAAAAGTAGTTGAACATCTTCATGGGGAAGAAAAATCAAAAACCTCTAAAGCACATGATTATCCTTCCCTCTCAGATGTTCCCTGTATACAGATTACATTTGCATCAAGGCTTTATATCTTTTACTAATAGTCTAACTTCTCCTTTTTTAGTAATAAACATGGATTTCATTTTCTAGCTATGCCTTTGGTTTAAATCTTTTTAAAAAGAGTACAGTAAAATTTTGGTTTGTGAGTGTTCCACAAGGCGAGCAAACATTTCTAAAACATTTTAACGTGGTAAACAGGCAATGTCTTGCAATATTAGTAGTTTGTTTCCGAAACGAATTATGCTCGCAAACCAAGGTATTACTATATTTTATTCAGTGCAATGGTTAACATACCCTTCAGTTTTGACTGTGTTTTCAATAGGGTTATAGTAAATATTGCCCAAGGTCTGAAATATGTATTCTGAAATGTTACCCTTATGAGCTTTAAAGTGAAAATAAGCATTGTAACCGAAAGTTAAGTACTCTTAATTTCCACGTCTTAGAATCTGTAGTTCTTCTGCCTCATTATAACTCTTGGTATACTCGTTCATAGTTGGTTTTATTTGCATGTATTGAATTTGGTTCCTTTAAATTTTTACTCCACCTGGAGAAGTTACTTACTTCCCACTTTAATCTGTATTATTGTAGCCTGAAAGTTTGATGAGGCCAAGGCCTTCTGTTCCTTAAATGATGGGAGTCGGTCCATTCACACAGCTGCCTCACAGTTCCCACAAATCTAAGCTGCCCTGCTCCTTTTTGATTTCATCTTCCTTCCCTGTTTTTAAAAATCGTTGTTCTGCCCGTTTTTCTTCCTTCGCTGTTTTTAAAAATTGTTGTTTTGCCCGTTGCTTTCTTCATGCTGTTTCCTGTTGAGAGCAGGTGAGCTGACGTTTCCTTCTCCAGCATCTTTCTGCCTCTCTCTCAACCAGTGTCTTCATTCCCTCTTGCACTATTGCAGCTGTGTTGTTGCTGGTCATCTCTTCCCTAGTCTTACCACCTTCTGGCTAATTCTTCATACTGCTGACAAAGACCAGGGAAGGTTGATGAAGTCGTTTGATTTTTCCCTAAAAACCCCAGGAAGTGGCTTTTAGTTGACTAATAGTATTTGCCACAGAATGATGTCTGGCCTTCAGTGTTGAAGATTCAGAAACCTGGACTTATTAGCTCAGATACTAGTGATTAAATCAGAATATAAGAGTCAGAAGTGTAGCTATTCCACTGACCAGGGTATCTAATATATTTCCTGTCTTGAGTCTGAGCTAAATTAGAAGCATAAGGCTGTTTGCTATTCCCTCCATCTCAGTTATTGTTCTCCTTCCTTCGGAAACCCATTTTTTTTTGTTTTACTTCTCTTTGTTTTGTTTTACATATAAAATTGCAGCATCCCTACATTTCCTGTCCTCCACATTTTTCCGTATTTTCCTCTGTAACACTTCTCACCATGTACATTGTCTTCGCTCACTGGCAGGTGATAAGGTCCATGATGGCGGGGAGTTTGGACTCTTGTTTGCCGTTGTATCCTTAGTATGCAAAGAATGTACACAGTAGGGATTTAATAAATATTTACTTAATGCATGAGCCATAGAGTTGTGTAATATGACAGTTTGATGGGAATTGACTTCTCAGCACCCATTACCTTGCCAGTGGGACAGGAACACTTGGAGTTGGGCTAAGGGAACTTTCTCCTAACAATGCCTTTAGAGGGGCAAAATCAAAATGGTTCTGAGAATCTCTCTCTCTCTCTCTCTCTTTTTATATGCAGAATTGATCGACTTGATTTTGGCTAGACCCAGTTCTTTAAGTATGTTAACATGTTTGGGTCTGTCAAACGCTATTATATTAGGATCCGTTTGGTCGAGAGTGACTTTGCAGCTGCTTTGACCTACTGAGTATCTATTTTAACTGTTTGCTTTAAAAGATGCTTTACTGTTCTAGCCTCTGTGTACTTAATTTTGTCACTCTCCACCGCACACTTCAGTATCTGGCCATGCTGAGTACTTGAAATTCCCAAACTCAAGGTCCTTCCCTGTCTTCACCCCAGGCCTCTGTGCGTGCGCTGAGCGTTCCCGCTGTCTTCGCCTTGCCCCACTCGCCCTGTCGGGACTGCTCCTGTGCGCCATGTGTGGCCTTCATTTTGGGTGCTGCTTGTTCCTCCTTCCATGACTGGACTAAGTCTCCCTTCCACTGTGCATCTGTAACATTCCCTACTTATCTTGATTATGGTGCTTCTCAGAATAATTTTATTTTCCACTACATTGTAAGTGTCTTGGGTTCTGAAAGTATTTCAGTTGTCATTATAGTATTTATTATCTCTCAGTTCAGTGTATAGTGCAAAGTGAGTACTCGGTAAATATTTGGGGAACAAATGTTTTATTTTAAAGCCGTTACTATTTTTCGTTGCCACACGTTTTTTAAAAATTTGTTTGAGGAAGCCATTTTAAATAACATTAAGTTAAAAGTTTTCATGCGTTATTTGAATTTCTCTCCTCCTGGATTAAGTGTTTCTTAAAATGAGGCTACACTATAAATTTTTTAAAAGCTCACTGGACATTTGCTGTTCACTCTTCATCCTCATGTCTCTCATGCCACAGTATAGAAGTGACCCTTAAGTAAAACAGCAGATTTGCTTTTGATATTAAGGGAATTCATTTCATGCTACCTCTAATTAAGATTTGACTTTCAACGTTCCCTGACTAATCATTTTCCTGAATGAGTTGTAGCATTATCATTTGCTCTCAGATGAAAGCATCTCCATGAGTATTTGTCCACAGTATCACTCTTAACATCTTTGCTTGAGTTTTATTTTATTTTTTTACCTTTAGTGGAGCTCAGTGCTTTTTTTTCACTTACATTTAAATATTTTAAAAGAGCTATACCCATAATTATTTCTTTAAAAAAAATTAACCTTCCTGTCAAAATCTTGATACTTTTCAAAGTTTTATTGCTTTCAAATTAAATATGGACATACAAGTTTCATATAAATTTTCCAATTTTCATTTAGGAAAAGAATCCCATTTGCAGAAAGTTTTATTATATGCATTAGTAAATTATTGAAGTCACCATTAGACTACGAAGTTGTTATGCTTTGTTACATTCCTGACTTAAAATATAAAAGGAATACATTAGTTGCTTTAGCCAATGAATAAGTTAAAAATTTCACATAATGTTAGAGTTTGGATGAGCTGAGAGGATTACTTATTTGATCACACTGTGTATAATAGGGATGCCTTTCAGTTCTGAAATAACATTGCTTTTTTTGTCTTTATAGTCTCTATTAATTTTATGTTCAGTTATTCATCTATATTTATGTTTCTATATGGAGTGTATACATTTTGGTCCACTTGGATTATTGTTCCGTTTCCAGTGCTGTTTGTTTTCTGAGGTGAGCTTCTTGAGGTCAGCTGCCAGTTGTGTAACACAACTCTTATTTCTACACTGTCCCTCATGTGGTAGTAGGATGATAAGACAGCTGTATGGACATGCCTCTGTAAAACAGGCAAGAATAAAGTTAATGAGAATTGCTAATGTCTACTGTGTGCTTGCTGTGAAATGTATACTTTTTCCTGTATGTAATCCTTCGAACAGCGTTATGAGATCTTTTTAATAGATGAGGAAACTAAGGTACAGACAGTTAAGTGACTTCGCATTGTCGTGCAGCTAGTAAGTGACAGAGACTGAGAGGTACCTGTTAACTCCATCAGACTCTTTTGTGGATTCAAAGGAGCCAGGAATCTTATCTGGTGTGGTTGGCAGAGAGGGATCTTGGCATTACAGTGACTCCTGAATGGGCCCAGAAAGATGGATAGGTAGAATTTTGATAATTATGTATGGAAGTGTGTTTGGTTTCTATTGCTGTTGTAGCAAATTACCACAAACTGGGTGGCTTAAAACAGCACACATTTATTATCTTCCAGCCTTGGAGGTCAGAAGTCTAACACACATCTTAGTATGCTAAAAGCAAGGCTATTGAGGAGAAATCTGTTTACTTGCTTTTTTCAGCATCTATAGGCCACTCACATTTCTTGCTTACAGCCTCCTTCTTCCATCTTCAAAGCCAGCAACACTGTATCTCGTTGTGTCTTCCATAGTCACCTTTCCCAGACTCTGACTCTCCCACTTCTCAGCCGTTACATTGTGATACATGGGGGCCACCTGGATATGCCAGGGTACCCTCCCTATTTGAATGCCAGCCGATTAGCAACATTAATATCATCTGCAACTTTAGTTCTCTTTTGGCATGCAAAGTTCTAGGGGTTAGGATAGGTAGGAGAGAAAAGAATGAAAAAAAGCGTAGGAGTGGACCATGTAGTTGTTTATGAAGTAGATAACTTTCTCCAGTTTGTCTGGAGTTTCCAGTATATGTAGGGAAAAGTGGGCTAAATTATCTGCTGTATGAAGAATCTAATTGCCCCAGAGTGAGAAATTACACTTAACTCAGTGGTCAAAGAAAAGGAGAGCCAGTGAAATCCGGAGCAGAGGTGAGAAATAATGGTAGTGAGGCGTTAGCAAGGTTATTCTGGTACCATCTTGTACTGTGGTTGGATGGGAACCAGGAGACTGCTGAGGGGGCCTCCCAGCCAGGAAGGAGTGGGGCCTGAGTGGCACTTGTGGGACTGAAAAGAAGGATGACAGCAAGTTGTGGGAATGGTTTGAGAACACGGGCTTTGACCTATTCCCGTGGAATTATTTGTAACCATGGATTTGGAAGTTCCAAAGAATGGTTGGAGATAGAAATATAAGCAAAAAAGAAGCTTTAGTTGGAGGGGTGAGAGTGAATGCTGTCATTAAAGGCGAGTGGTGAGTGCCTGTGTATAGGGAATAGGAGGACACAGAGGCATCTTCTGTGAAGTAGTAGTCAGAGATGAAAGTTTTATGACTATAGAGTGTCGCCC